GTTCATCCATCTTCACAACAATCTCAGAACCAAATCCCCTCTCAACTACAAGTACAACCGAGTCTTACCCCGCCATTCAAGCAACTACAGAACTGAAGAACACTTCTCTCAGCGACACTTCTGACTCAACATCAAACCACCAAAGCACTGTTACTCAAAAAATGGAGCCCTTAAACAATGCCACTGCACATGGGATCAGTTCAACAGGAAGTGCTAAAACAACTAGCATGGACACATCAACAACATCTGAGACACCTGCAATGACTTCAATTCATGCAAACAATGATTCAATTACCACCATTGATTCCAATAAACAGAAGGATGTAGAGCAAACATCACACAGCAATATATCCATTTCTTGGACTGCTGGAACATTAACTGGTACTCAAAACCCTGAGCCAACAACCGAAATTTTCATCAACAGTAGTGTCACGAAGCAGATGGCATTTTCTGAATTGACAACTGCAACGATTGCGTCTATGACATCTACAGGATATTCATTTCCGTTCCCTGATGTGTCTTTTGGAAGATCATACTCCACTGCGACAACAACACAAAAGATTGAGTCATCAGACCATACTCAAGTCTCCATCACTTCAAATGAATCGACAATGACTCTTAGTGACACTTCTGACTCAACATCAAACCACCAAAGCACTGCCACTCAAAAAATGAGGCTCTTAACCAATGCCACTGCACATAGGATCAGTTCAACAGGAAGTGCTAAAACAACTAGCATGGACACATCAACAACGTCTGAGACACCTACACTGACTTCAATTCATGCAAACAATGATTCCATTACCACCATTGGTTCCAATACACAGAATGATGTAGAGCAAACCTCAGGCAGCAATATATCCATATCTTGGACTGCTGGAACATTAACTGGTACCCAAAAACCTGAACCAACTTCCGAATCTTCAACCAACAGTAGTGACATGAAGCAGATGGCATACACTTCTCTCAGCGACACTTCTTACTCAACATCAAACCTCCAAAGCATTGCCATTCAAACAATGGAGCCCTTAAACAATGCCACTGCACATGGGATCAGTTCAACAGGAAGTGCTAAAACAACTAGCATGGACATATCAACAACATCTGAAACACCAGCAATGACTTCAATTCATGCAATCAATGATTCAATTACCACCATTGATTCCAATACACAGAATGATGTAGAGCAAACATCACACAGCAACATATCAATTTTTTGGACTGCTGGAACATTAGCTGGTACCCAAAACCCTGAGCCAACAACCGAAATTTTCACCAACAGTAGTGTCACGAAGCAGATGGCATTTTCTGAATTGACAACTGCAACGATTGCGACTACGACAACTACAGGATCTTCATTTCCATCCCCTGATGTGTCTTCTGTAACTACTTTCAGAGCATCAACTCTACATGGAACATCTACAACAACAGCAACGCTGGTTTCCAACCATCTGCAAACTCAGGCACTGTTCTCTTCACAACATGCACAAACTGCATAAGCAAACCACAAGTCATACTGTAATTTTGAATCATCATGCATTTGAACGAGCATCAGAGTTTTCAGACTTCTTCAGAATACACCTTGCGACAAACAGCCATATTTTCATTAATACTTTTTGAGAAATGCTTACTCTTGCTGACAACAAAACAGCTGACATTTGAATCACTTAATATAAGAAAACTGACCCATAATTAATTATCTTAATAGAACAAAACCAACCAATATTTAAATCACTTCAGAGAACAAAATTGACCAATATTGAAATCTCTTAATAAATTTTCTTGATTGTCTTGATTGACAGCGAGTTGAAATTTGATAAGCAAGTAAATTCAGTGGTTAGATCTTGCTTCTTTAATCTCCATCTTCTTTCTAAAATCAAGCCTTTTCTTTCTTTTCAAGACTTTGAAAGAGTGATTCATGTTTTTATTTCATCATGTTTAGATTACTGTAACTCATTGTATTGTGGAATGAATGCCACTTCTTTGGCCCGTCTTCAATTGGTCCAAAATGCATCACTCTTTTGCTTCTTTTAGTTGAAGCTGTAAAGCACTTTGGTCAGCTGTCTCTGTTTTAATGGTGCAACTAAACTTGAAACTTGAACCTTAATAGAACAATTTCGACCAATACTTAAATCTCTCAACAGAACAATATTGACCAATATTTAAATCTCTTTTCTAATAACCACCTCTAACCATCTTGAGCTACCTGAACTACAAAGATGAGCATTTTAGCTTAAAATATACTAATAATTAAAATAATGCAGGTTGTCAAATAGAAAGTTATATGGCCTTTCCATAAAACATGCCCTATAAATAGACAGTGCACAGGGTCACATACACTACACTAAAATAACAATAAACATTAACTAAATAACAGAAAATACAAAACTATTTAAATAAAATATTCTCATATGTGATGCATCACACAGGGACTTCTGTCCTTTTAATGATTTTAGGTAATTAATTTTTAATTGCAAAAACCATTAAATTAATAGTATTTCACAGTAAAATTACATATAATGTGATGTTAAACCATATACAATTACTATAGTTAACCAGTTAAGTGGTATTAACTGTTCAAAGCCTTCTTCTGTAAAAACCAACAATGTGGGTCTCTTATTCAACCATTCTCCTTTTCTCTTTACTTTACAGGGAACAGTTTCAAGACAAGCAGTGACATCTGATTCAAAATCCACATCTATGAACACGCCCTCAATGTTTCCAACCACTCAGGAAAACCAAAAAACGAACACTCAGACCTCCTTAAACCCAATTTCTCCACCACCATCTCCTCTCACAGCCACAAGCAATGACTCAAAATCCATCACCAGTCCATTAGCTCATGAACACAGAGGCTCAACTTTGGGGATATTAACTCAAACGGGGCTAAACAGGTCTGATTCAGAAGGTACTACAATCAAAGACACCTGGTCAAACAACATATCTTCAACACCAGTAGGTCTAACAAACCCACCATTGTCAAGCAAAACCAGCAGAGACGGAAATGCAGATAACTCTGCAAACTCAGTGAAAAGCACCACTGTTTTTGTCTTCAACACTCCCAAAGTACCTGTGTTTAAAACAATCACCTTTAATTACCCATTGGTTAATCAAGTCACAGTGATGAAAACAGTTTCAAGACCATGAAACGGTCATATAAACTGACTTAAAAGCAAAGTGTGTGAGTCAGAGAGCATATATTTGTCTCTTCGACAAATGTGGACGAGCCAAAAACAGAAACTTCCTGCTAAACGCATCTTAATGGAGACAGATCTGGAATATAAGGAATGTAGAAGCTGAAATGTTTTTGTGGTTACTGAACGTCAAGCAGATCATATGACTAAGTGCCACACACCCACAAACAAACAAACAAAGACTGAAACCAAAATAAGATGGAAGAACAGGTTTAATGTTGGTTTAATTAAGACTAACTTTCATTTCAACAATGTATCAAATATATTAAAGGTTGTACATAGAAATAGTGTATGATTATTCTATTTGTTGTAGTGCCACAGGTTTAAATTATGCAATGTCTATAAATGAAAATCATCTATGCATATAAACAATAACATGCAAAACCTTTTGCTCTTTATATTATTTCACCTCTTTTGTCGCTTGTATTTTCATTTTAAAATTGTGTTCTAGGAATATTGTTGGTTCCAACTACAAATTGCTTGTGATTTTCCTCATGTGTAAGCTGCTATAAAATCTTGATATATGATCATATTGATATATGTACAATATGTCAGATTAAATCTTTTTAGATTGAAAAAAGCACATTCGGATTGACCATATTCCTTTAGCAGATAGATAGACAGATATGCAAACACCTCACAGATTATGTAAGCTTGTAGACTGTTGGATCTGATGATCTAAAACAGAGGAGCACAAACTGAAAGGCCAAAAATCAAACTTCATTTTTTATGTAAACAAACATGCATGTAAACACAATGGGCAATATTGCATCACCAAAACTTATCCCGGTCATGTCCATATTTAGGTAGCCAGTGCAGAGACTGTAAAATTGGGGTAATATGATCATATTTTCTTGACCTGGTAAGGACTCTAGCCGCTGCATTTTGGACTACCTGTAGCTTGTTTATTGAAGATGCAGGACAACCAGCTAGCAGTGCATTACAATAGTCCAGTCTAGAGGTCATGAATGCATGAACTAGTTTTTCTGCATCAGAAACAGGTATCATGTTTCGTAACTTGGAAATGTTTCTAAGATGGAAGAATGCTGTTTTTGTAACATGGGAAATATGGTTTTCAAAAGACAAGTTGCTGTCTAATATAACACCCAGATTTTTGACTGAAGAGGAAGTAACAGTACACCCGTCTAGAACTTTGAAAGATTTGTGATATCAGTTCCTCATCTCGGCAACAAAACCTCATGACCAGAAGAACTCTCAATAAACACAACTCAGTTAAAGCAGCAACTTGATTTTCCGTCATCTTGGATTTGTTTTTTCCTCCTTGTTTCGTCTTCGCAAGCAGTTCATTGTGCCATAATGAAAGGCATAGTTTATCAAACTATAATAATTCTGTAATCATTTACTCACCCTCATGTCATTTCAAACTCTCACATTGTGCATTTAGTGTTTATTTGTACAGACAATGAAAGCCAATGGGGTCCAATGTGTTCAACACAAGAAATAAACACAGAAGTTTGGCAAGACATTGTTCTAAAAGGTATTACATTATGTTTGAAATTAACATGCAATGAATGATCAACAATCAATACACTGTTACAGCAGTCTACAATATGAGTTAACACTTGCTTAACACTCCATTAACACTTGGTTTCAACGTCAACATTTCTTAAGACTGCATGCTTAGGGAGGAATGCATTGTTGGATACGTAGGTATAACCAGTTTGGTTAAAGATGGAATGGATTAACAATGCACCACCACTTAGACTGACAACTATGTGATTTGTGTCATGTGACTCGAAACAGAGCTAATATAAACATGGACTTTGAGGAGAGCATGAGTTTACCTGCTTTTATCAAGGGACTTACAACTTCACTTGTAAGAAATTGTACTGAGGTACAAAATGGATTGGGTGAGTTTGACTTGTTTGCGTATGACTATAGCCATCCATTCTGATTTATACTCATAACCATATATAAATAGTTTCTGAGATTATTTGTTATAATTGAATTTATGATTTTAGTATTATATATATTTAGCATTATTCATTTATTTTTAACACAGAAAAAAGCTGAATAATGACCATTGACTTCTGTAGAACTGCTTTAAGGGCTGAAATTTAAGTAATTCCATAATTTTCCTGCTTATTTCTGTAGAGCTGCTATGAAATAATTGTATAAAGCGCTATACAAATAAATGTATTATATAAGGGTTAAACAAAAGCAGACCTTGTGCACCAAACACATTTAATAAATGGCTGACACTTCAACAGCAAGAATGAGTGCTTAAGTAAAAATATTTTAAATTGTTTAAAGGTCAAGATGCAGTTGGAGTTATCTTTGTAAATTTCCTCAGACGTTAAAGATAAAAAAAAAAAAAGAAATAGGGTACAATAATACATAAAAAATGAATAGCTATGAAACATAAGGAAAGCATGATGAAGTCTAATAATGTTTTACATTTTAAAATGTATGTATTTAACTGTGCATATTTAATACTCTTGATGTTGGAAAAAAAAGGCATTTCTAATTCATTTATTTCATTATTTTGATTTATGTTCTTATCTACACTACCATTCAAAAATTTGGAATCAGTGCAATAATAAAAAAAAGAAATTAATACTTTTATTCAGTACGGATGCATTAAATTTATGAACAGTGGCAATTTCCACTGGAATGTGAAGCAGCACAATTCTTTTCAACATTGATAATAATCAGAAATGTTTCTCGAGCAGCAGATCAGCATATTATACTGATTTCTGAAGATCATGTGACACTGAAGACTGGAGGAATGATGCTGAAAATACAGCTGTGCATCACAGAAATACATTACAGTTTAACAGAGATTCACATAGAAAACAGCTGTTTTAAATTGTATTAATATTTCACTGTAGCATTGTTTTATAGTGTTTTTAAAGAAATGCAGTCTTGATGAGCATAAGATACATTTAAAAAATATTTTTTTTAAATCTTGCTGACCTTAAACTTTTGCATGGTAGTGTAATTCTTCCCTCATTTTTTGTTATTCATGATAACTACTATCATCTTCAGTTATGTGAACTGTGCAAAAATGACAAATCATCATTACTTTACGGAAAACAATCTTTTATGAAAAGAAGTCATCTGGAAAGAGGGTGTTTTTATTATTAGTTTGTTTTTTCCCCAGACTGTCACTGACACTGGTATTGTTTTTATGATGTAGGATTAGATTGGTTGTTAAAGGGGTCATATGATGCGATTTAAATTGTTCCTTTCTCTTTGGAGTGTTACAAGCTCTTGGTGCATAAAGAAGATCTGTAAAGTTGCAAAGACTAAAGTCTCAAATCCAAAGAGATATTCTTTATAAAAGTTAAGAGTCAGCCACGCCTACCTAAAACGGCTCGTTCTAACACACCCCCACATGTCTACATCACTATGTGGGAAGATTTGCATAACGCCGCCCAAATGTTCACGCAAAGAAAGAAGGTGTAACTTTTATTCTCGCTGTAGTATTATTGTTGCCGCCACCATTTCGTGAAGACGCTGTGTGTTTCGTTGAAAGCGAAACTACTTTGTTTGGTCTTCCAAAAGAGAACGATATCCGCACAAATAACTCGTTTATAAATTATAATGGGTTTTAACGTTTTTGTCTCATCGCTCCGGCCGGACAGGGCATCATCACAGTATGGTGAGGGGCATAACATTTCCGTCACACGCTTGAGGTATTCGGCCAATCACAACTCTCTAGATAGCTGGCCAATCACAGCACACCTCGCTTTTCAGACCGATGAGCTTTGTAAAAATCGACACGTTTCAGAAAGGCGGGGCATAGAGGAGAAACAAAAATGTAGAGTATGTGGAAAATAATGTGTTTTTTTAACCTTAAACCGCATAAACACATTTCATTACACCAGATACACAAAATAATGTTCTTTTTAGCAGCATCACATGACCCCTTTAATGTTGTATATTACATGTTTATTGTGTGTTGATGTTGCAGCAGTTATTTTATCAAAAAAAAAAATACTACCTTTACATGCCAAAAATTATGCCATTACTTACATATTTGCTAATGTTATGCATTATATGTTTACAGGTGATCTATTTGACAACTACCAAGATGAGTAATAAAGCACTAATAATTGCAGTGTTAATTTTAGGTCTGTAAGCTACTGATCATCCAAATTCTTTATATCTCTTATTACTTATTTACATGTGACAATTGCTCTAAAATGAATGTTACTTTTCATTTTTTAACAACAGTATTATGTAGCACAACTAGTCAAACAACATCAGCGACAATAACACCAGCATCAACAACTCCAGCTGAATCTACAACTGCAACTCCACTTCCAACTACTGGCTCTTCTACAGAAATGACACAAACAACTGAACCTACAACTGTGGTTACGACAAACTCACCTACAACTGAACCTCCACTTCCAACTACTGCCTCTTCTACAGAAACGACACAAACAACTGAACCTACAACTGTGGTAACGACAAACTCACCTACAACTG